TGAGGATTAATTGTTTCTCCCTTTCATTTTTTTGATATATTACTTGATTGAGTTCCAACGTAATTTGTTTTTTTATTTGAATGAAATTGCACTTTATTGGCAACTTATTTTGGAAAAATTTCAAGGTAGTATGCTTCGAGAGTTTTGTTTAAAATTTTTTGTGCAATTTCTAGAATTTTTATTTATTTTTAAATTTCCCATTATAAAGCTCATCAGCTTTTACAATATCTTTTTTAACACCGATTCCTTGAGAGTAGCAATTTATAAGACAATCTCTGGCTTTTTCTTTGAATTGTAGATTACTACTATTAAAAACTTCATGATAGTAGTGAACAGCTTGGTCTGTTTTATTTTTGAAACCTTTTTCATATGTTTTTGCTAACCAAAATTTTGCTTCAATTGTAATTTGATCATTTTTGTGAAACTTTTGATAATCAATAAGACTAGTTAGAGAACAAACCGCGCCTGAGTAATTTTCATCTTTGAACTGTTTTTTAGCAAGTTGAAGTAAATCACTGTATTTGGGTTTGTTTTTTTTGGTCGACATGGAATATAATAAATATAATTGCTATTCAAAAAAGTTCAAGTTTAAATATAAATTTTGAAACAAAAGCTTGTATTATATTTTTGCTTCTAATTAACTGTATTGGTGAATTTTAATTCAGGAATTATAGCGCAAATTACAATGGTTTTATTCCTTATTCATTAAGAAAATTATATATATAAATATCTAAACCATATGACAATTAAACGTAATCAAAACACACGTAACTTAACGTTAATTGATAAAAATTGAATTTGTAATTGTCAAATGAATGACTCTGAAGGGAGGCTATATTTACGTAATAAGTGTGTGTGTGTTACCAATATAACGTATTCAACTGCCCCTAAAAATTTAAATATCATCTTTTTTATTAATAAAGTGATGAAAATTTGCAATACGAAAATTTGTGTATCAGGTGTAGGGTTGTTAAAAGTCAGATCCTTTCGGTCCGGACTCCGTAAATAAGGACTTCAATAAGGACTCGGTCCTTAAGTCGAGTCCGTGTATGTAATAATAATAATCAATAAGTTATTCATGATATTTTGGTCAAATCGATCTTGATGTAAATTAGCCAATCACATGCATACCCTTCTAGAACAAAAGACATGCATAAGGGACTTTGTCTGGGACAGGCTTGAGTCAGTCCTAAAAAGTCCGTATGAAGTCGGCTCAAGGACCGAGTCCGACAAGCTTTTTAACAACCCTAATCAGGTGATTGTTAAAATCCTCATTATTACAATTTTCAATACAACAAATTTCAAAATTAACTTAGTGATTTCAAGTTATGGCCAGAATTATGTGCTTATCTAAATTTCGAAATTACATCCCTGGGCGTTTTTTCAAGTGATAGGGCAAAATTTATGTGTTATTTGGACACATAATATGGTCAGGTGTTGTTACCAGAATTTTAATTATTTTATATATTAGCTTTACTAAATTTTTTCTTTTTATTTCATTTCAATGTTAGGTTCTCACTTTTTCATTAATTTCTGTAATAAATTCTTTTTTAATCATTATTAATATAGTGCTAACTATCGCACAAGCTAAATATAATTGAGTCAACAGAAATCAAGCAAATCTATTAGATAAATTTGCTTGATTTCTGTTGACTAACACATAGAAATAAAATTCGCCGCTCGAATCTTATACAAGATATTTTACTTTTTGGAGATTTAAAGTCATACTGACAATCAAACGGGATCGGATCAATTTCATGTGTAAATAGCTGGGTTAAAAAAGTCAAGTTAGATGGTAATAATTAGAAACTTTATAGTTTTAAAAACTTACTTAATTTTTTTTCTTTGTAATTCCTTAAAAAATCCTAACGCCAAGGTAACCCAACATGATTTCTCGGCTAAAACGATGACCCGCACAGACAGAAGCTTGTGGGTAGTTGGTGGTATCGGGTGACGTCGTTCACTGGTACGTGAACAGGGTACTGCTGCACGCTAGCCTTTGAGGTTGCTTGATTCTGGGAACCGGGTCCTCGATGATTAAATTAACGATACCATTTTCTTTACTAGACGGTCTGAAGAACCTTTAACTCGTAAAGAATTGGGTTCAAGGGCTTTTCTTTCTTTTGGTGTTATTCCGTGCCAATTTTTAGAGATAGAACGGAATATCTAACAAATCGATGAATACCTTCTCGTTCATCGATTTTAAGCAATGGGATGGTGAGTTTTGTTAAGTTTTCGATCAGATTGTTCTCGGGGGTTCCGTTCTGTCGGGTAAATTCCCGGTATGGTCAAAAAAAACTTGACGTACATAACCAAGGGCGGGTTATGAAGCACGGTTATGCATATGGGTTCCGGCTTATCGGGTGAATTCCTATGTATGATTAAGAATCACTGTATGGCATATTCTAGCCCCATCAGGTTTGATTGTGGCAGGCGAGTTCCTGTAAGCCATCATTCGATGCGAAATAATCCTCCCTCTGCTGTGGTACGACCTCAAAGTAAACCAGGTTTTTTTATGTGTTTGTACCCTAGGAATTTTCAAATTTTTTTTGCAATTTGAAGGTTATAAAACAAAACGGTCGATTTATTACGATGCCTTCAATATAATTTTGTCGTATTGCTAAAAAGTATGTATAATGAAAAAAAAGAGAAAGCTTCGATTCTATCGTAATCTTAATATTTGGAATAAAGAAATTTCTAATAATGATCTATACAAAATAACAGAAAAGATGAATGACCAATATGTCATATTCAGACGAATATGAAATCTTTGATATTCTAAAAGAAGAATTAATTCAATATTCTTCAAATTTAGTCTGCACCCCTAGTTATCCGGGTAAAAACATATTTCTGTAATACCCAAATATTTCTTTTTGACTGCTTCTCATAAATATTTAACATTTCAATTGAGACAAAAACAATTTAGGACCGTGAAATTTAATTGTTCCTTTTTGTAGCATTTACCTTTATTAGATTCTTGTCTAATTTGTCGTATTGTTAATAGCAAAGCTTGCTATTTATTTATATGACTGTAAAACCGATAAGCATATAAAAAAAGCTTAGCGGGTTAATATTTTATAACAAAAAAGACAAGCATTACTCATCCTTATCCTTAATGAACACTGACGGCAAATTTTCTATCTCTTTCTTTATCTTTTATTTGGAAAAATTTTTTAATCTTGTTCCTTTTTTATTATTATTTTATGGCTCGTGATTTAGCGGATATGAATTTTGAAAAAAATTTAATTCAAATCAAAATTGTAAACGAAAATTAGGTACAAGCAATAATACATATAATTTCAAGCAAAATTAAGATAATTCCGGGCCAAATTAAAAAATAATTTAAGTATGATTCCGGCAAAATTAGTATAATTACAGTAAATTCAGGCAAATATATATATATGGGTGAGTACACAGCAAAACCATGCTTAGAGTATATAGATTATATATACTCTAAGCATGGTTTTGCTGTGTACTTACCCATATGTTAGATGTTTCAAATTCAAAATTCACAGGGTATGACATTTTTTTTAAACGGTTTGAAAACATTTAACATAAAAATAAAGTATATAAACAAAGGCTGCATTGTGGTCAATTGTCCTGGCTCGACGTATGAAACAAACCACCTTTGTATTATTATTGAACAAACAATTAAAATTATTTATTTTTATAATTTTTTTATATAAGGATTCCATCCTGTTAAGGAATGGTGTTGGCACACAGCGTGTTCTCGTTCAAGTCAGCCCAACGATTTTACTAAGTTAAAGGGAACGCAGCGCGTTCTCGCTCAAACTAGATTAAAATATACACAGTGTAAAGATGCCTGAAAAAAGTTTATCTGATAGTGATATGACAAAACCTGAGAATCATTCATCTTTTCATACTTATGTTGTCTCTCCAGTTCAAGCATTCTTTCGTTCTCATGTGGTCCGGCCATCTAAAGAACACCCTTCAATATTTTCTTTTGTCATTTTAATTCTTTTGTCTATCTTACTTCTTCTTATCCTTTTGCTTGGTAGTACTAAAACTATTTATTTGTCAAAATTTACTTTTGGCGAACCGATAAAATTTATTACAAAAAAAAATGATATAACTTTCACTCTATACGGTTATTGTGTAGATAATTCATGCACTACACCTTCACTGGTTAATAATTTTGATAAATATAAGTTATGTATTAAATTAATTTTGATTGTTTTCTTATTTTTTTTTTTTATTAGTAAATAATTTTTTAATTGTTAGTGCCCTCTTCTTCAGAAATCACTGGTAAATCCTCAAATCAAAACCGTCTCGATATTCTAATTCCTTCAATCCCAACTCCTTCAATTCCTAATGTTCCATCTAGTGTAGAACCAGCTGTTTCGGCCGTTAGTAGTGCTGTCACCGATGCTGCAAATACTGCTTCAAATACTGCCGGGGATATTGCTGCAGTAGCCCTGGTTTATTAACACAGTTATTAAGTGCTTTCGACAATTTTAAACCAAGAAGTCCTACTGCTAACGTTTCGGGGTTTTTCACAATTCCTTATTTAATAGCTTTAATATTTAATGTAATTTCTTTACCTTTATTATATTTTCATTTTACAATTATTGCTGCTTTACTCATATTAACTTCTTCCTTACTTAATTTAATTGCTTATTTTTTTGATCTCTTACTTTTTGTTTGGGTATTTGATCTTATTTCTATTATTTCTGGTATTGGAAGTCAAAATACTGGTCCTGGAATTTATTTGGCTACTATGAGCATTTCCTTCTTAACTGTTGCTACTATTTTATTATGTATTGGTTCATGTAGTACTGTCAGGAGCACTAGTATTGAACAATCAATTTTTGACTAAATTATAAAAAAATATACACGTTTAAAAATCGCTGAAATAGTGATTAATTCTTTTATTAAACTTTTTATTTCAGAAAACATTGTATAATTATATTTTTAAAAGCTTTCAAATTTTAACTTAAAAATTATTATTGTTTAAAAATCAAAAAATGGTCAAACAAAAAGAATCAAAATCAGTCAGGATTAGTACTTTGAAAATCGAATGCGATATCATTTAATAACAATCTTATCGGTACTTGCCATACTGACTACAATCTGTCAAACACTTGATATAACGATACCAATACAATCTCCAACCATCATACCAACTGCCATACCAACCACAATCAAAGAAAAAGAAACTATTGTCTCAACTGTACAACCAGAATTCTTTCAGAACGTCCAAGCCGTAAACGAATTAATTACCATATTCGTAATCCTTATCGGAGCCATAACCTCCTTAACAGGAACAATTTGTTGTTACAAAAGAAAAATCAAAAGAAATAAACAAAGAATTACAAATCTAAACAATGCCTTAGATCAAAGACAACACCAATTACCACCATACTAAATCATCAGATCAAAACAATTGTATGAGTACAAACACAACAAACAACTGTACAACACCAGATAACAATCCAATTGTAACCCAGCTGATATACACAATCATAATATTAATATTACTAAAAATAGTAATCATCTGTACCTGCTGCTGCACACTACAAAGATATAAAAAGAGAGTGAACAAGGCCATACCTGGAGCAAAACAATACCTTGAAGCCAACCGAGAAAACTGCTGCTGTTAATATATGTTCAAAAGAAATAAGAAAAACAACCCATATAATCTACAACCATACTCTGCACCAAACCTATCACAACTCCAAAACCAAACTCTAAATTATAACTCAACTCCGGACTTAAGACAACCCATACTAATATATAACCAAGACCCACAAATTCCATTTCGACGACAATTACTATAGATAGATTCATCATCATTATTAAATATTCTGAGAATGATAAGACCTTTCATTTCATCCGATTTATAAGCACTTTCACATGTATTATGTTTATACTTATTGACTCTGCTTCTGCGAAGATAACAATCACTAACGTTAAACGTTCCTTCAGCATGACAGATTTCTGCTAGTTCATTAATTAAAAAACTTTTTTGGCTTATTCCATATCTTATTTATTTTAATGATAAATATTTATGATCGGTTAAATAATTAAATTTTAATTCATTTAATTCCCGATATATTTCGACCCATTGACCAAGCCTTTCAAGGATCCAGTAAGCTTATTTCTATGAAACGAATATTGACAATTGAAAATTGGTAAATATTATATAGGCAACCACTCGATCTATCGGTCAAACATTTCTGACTGAACCAGTGTCGATCACGGTCATGGCCATCATGATCGTGATTATTGTCTCTAGCATGAACTCAGTAGATTTTTTCGAATACTGTATGCAATTTAACGTGTCACATAACTAATATTGTCAAATTGATTAATCATTTTGATGAATGGTTATTGAAGCAACCTCATTAGTAGATATGGCAATTTTTTTTTATTACATACCGTAATTAAAAACAAGTATATATTTAAATCTAGATTTAACTGTTCGGACTGTAGTCATCTCATGTTTTAAATTGTCGAAAAAACGTCTTAAATTGTTTTTTTACCATTCGTACTTGAAACTTTCATTTAACTCAGCTCTAAAGGCATGTATAATAAACAGATTTCTCAATAAGAAAATCCTAAAACTAATGCTTCAAAAAGAAAAAAAAAAACTATACAGCACTTTCAAAATGAAATTGTTAGCACAATATACATACACATTACTCTGGTTATATCGACACTTTCAGCACTGAAAAATTGTCGATACATCCAGATGTCAGTTTAATAAGCATCTCTACCTATACCGACATGTCGATTTAGGTAGAGATAAATTATTTGTTTTCACGCTAAGAGTAATAAACTTAGCAAAATGGATTCATTTTACACAAAACGAATTCGTTTTATGTTTAACATAAAGGGAATTTATTTTATGTTTAACATGAAATGAATTTATTTACTGTATTTTAACTCGTTTTATGCTTAACGTAAAATGAAATCATTTTATGCTAAACATAGCATAAAAAGAACTTGTTTCATGCTAAACTTAGCATAAAACGAATTCATTTCTTGTTAACCATTGCTTATTTGATGGTAACATTGTAAAAACCAATTTCATTATATGCTGAGCTAGTATAAAACAAATTCATTTTACACTGGCGATCATAAGTAGTGCAACAAAAAAAAAATTTTAGTTAGATCAAATTATCTCATGCAATTCCAGTCGTATTTGTTAACTTTTTTTTTTATTTTATTC